ATCTCTTTCTGAAACTTTTGCCCACACACTCGTACTCTTTAGAAAGATATTCTTGAACTTCTAGGTTATGTCTTTCTTGTAATATTTTTCAAATAATATTCTGTACTTTTTGTTTTATAAATTATCATATATTTTATTTTCCCCATAAATTTGTCAGAATAATGGGAATATCATTATCCCCCAAAATTGTAGATATGTTTAACATTGATAGCAAAAGAGACTTTGCATATGTTAGTAAGGTTATGGACTTTGAGATTGGGAGATTATCCAGAAAGGACCTATATAGTCACATGACTCATTTAAAGCAGAAAACCTTACTCTGCTGAAGTCGGAAAGATGTGGTAGAAGAAAAGAAAACAGATAATTGTAGGCTAATAGGGAATTGAGTTTCCAGTTCTGGCTTTGAAGATGGAGAAAGGAGGTCATGTGGATGGCTTCACAAAACTAGAAAAGACCCTCAATTGACAGCAAAAAATAAAAAATAAATTGGGAACTCAGTCCTACAACCACAAATAATTAACTTCTGCCAATAACCTGTATGATCAAAGAAACAGATTCTCCACTTCAGTCACCATAAGGGAATATAGCTAAGTTTATGATAATTTGTTATGGCAGTCATAAAATGTTAACACCTTAATAGTCTGAAGATACATGAAGGCAGAGTTTTTATCTGCCTTTATTCACCCAATATTGCCAGTGTGAAGCTCAGTGCTTGGCAGAAAGTATTTTAATCAAGATATTTTGAACTCAAGATAATGAAACAGGAGAGAGATAAAGTTACTTGGTCTTACCTAGAGGCAGGCGGTTATTTATAAAAAGAAAGAAAACACATACAATATAGCAATGAAAGAATCATAGACCAATCATGCCAATATATTCATGATTATGCCCAAGGTAATCCCTTATACCTAGTTTTTTTTAAAAAATTAAATTCATTGGGGGTGATATTGGTTAATAAGATTATATCGTTTTCAAGTGTACAATTCTATGATACATTATCTGTATATTGCATTGTGTGCCCATAACTTATAGGTAGTTTTATTTAGAGAAAATGTTATGCAGAGTCTGCAATGGAAAAAATTTAACTTATAATATCACTGCTTTAATATTAGCAATTACATGAACTCTCTTGCTTGATTCCATAAAGAACTTCAATGAATTTAGACAATGCACCTCAAGTACTTATTCCACTTATTTCTCAACTTCTACTATATTTTTTTAAATAATCATTTTGAGGAGAGACAAAATGGTGGCGGAATAGAGGGACGTGTCCTGAGCCTTGTCCCGGAGCAGATATAATGAGCAACTAAATTGAATAACATCCACCCCGAATTGGCAAAGTAGACACAGCTGGTGAGACAATTCGCAGCTGGGAAGGGCAGAGGACGCCTGGAGAATGGTAAAATCAGGGATCTGGACTGGAGAGAACCAAGAGACCTCCAAGCCCAGAGGGTCAGAAGGAAACCACACAGCACCGAGGCCACGTTCCTTGGGACAGGTGTAGTGTCTGACTGTGGAAAGGTGGTCTACAGGACAGCTGGTGGCAGCGGATTCCAGATCTGAGTCCACAGCCAAGAGAGACTGAGCCCAGAGGGTCAGCCAGGATGGGTGCCCAGGCTGCGCCGTGCCTGGGGGGAGAGGGGCTTGCAGTAGCACAGCTCTTTCCCCTCTTTTTGGTCTTTGTTTTTGTTTTCTGAACCTAGTTCATAGGACCTTTCAAATACAGACATTCACCCACAGCTGAGGTGCAGGTGGAGGTGCGGACTTGTGGAATCTGGGGAGAGGTGGGAAGAGGAGAGGTTTGGGGAGAAGTGGCTGCAAGACTGACTCTGAATCATACCTGATGTGCCGGACCTAGGCAGCCATTTTCTCCTGAAGAGATAGCCCTTCCCTGCAGTCTCCAGGCAACTAATACAGCCACACCCAGACTACACCCTGAGTGGCACAAAGGGTACAAAAAAAATCTGAATAGTCCCTGAGAGCCCTCAAGTATTGGCCTAGAGAGAGGCCTTCAGTCCCAGCAACAGGAAACTGAGAAGCGGCAGACAGTACAGAACAGTGGGATCTTAAACCAGCCCTCATTTTTATTTTTTTATTTTTTTATTTTATTATTATTTTGTTATCTCTTTTTTCTTTATTTTCATTTTTTTGTTTGTTTTTTTATTTTCTATTTCTTTTTGCATTATTGTTCCATCATTCTAACTTATTTTGTTTTTTATCCTATTTTTAATCAATTTTTTAATTTTTATTATTATTATTAATTATTGTTATTATTATCTTCTCTTTCTTACTATCCACTCATTCTCTTTCTACTTCCTCTATACTGAACTGAGGTCCTCCCCATATTCATCCAATTCTTAACCTTACTTTCTGTATATAAGATTCTGCCCCCACCCTCTTTACTGGGAATTTGGTGTTTGTATGTATTGGTTTATCTGTTTGTTTCCTGGTGTTTTTCATTTGTGCTCTCTTTTCTCTCCCCTAATTCTCTTTTCTCTGGTAGTCACTTGTATTGGGGTTATCAGTGTTGTGAGTACATTCATAATTTTTTCCCCTTGTTGAGGTTAATTTTATCCTGTTTGGCCAGTGTGGTAGAGAGTGAGCCACATAAACAGACACCCGGAGAGCAAACTCCATCCACAGATGGGTCAATAACCCTCCAGACCCAACTACAGAGGCAGGAAGAAGGCAGCAGTGAGGGAGAGAGCATGAGTGAGTAAGGGAGCAAAAGAGGAGTGTGTATACATGGTGTGTGTGTGTGTGTGTGTGTGAGAGAGAGAGAGAGAGAGAGAGAGGCACAGTTAGATCCTGCAGGACATTCAGGGGAAGCCTGAATGGGCTCGCCTAACCAGGTAGCCTCTGCTACCGTTGCAAATAATCCCAGAGCAGCTGGCTATTCTGCAGATGGTTAGCCCAGCCTCACCTCCACCCAGGTGCCCTCAGATAACACCTGGGACTCTACAGCCACCCCAACCAGGGACCTGCTGCCTCAGCTGCAATCCCACAGTCACCAAGACTCCAGCCATGGCGGGCGCAGGTTCCTGTGAGTTTCAAAGCACACCCCCCTCTGGCAAGCCCAATGCTGCAACCCAGGGCACAGTGACCACATGGGCAGCAAACATGTGAGCAGCCCACCCCCATCCAAGGAGCAGCAGCCCCGTGAACAGCTTGACCCAGTTTGAGGCATGCCAGCCCCACAGAGCCCACCCCCATCCAAAGAGCATCAGCCACACACAGCCCACACCTATTTGAGGAGCAGTGGCTGAATGAGCAGCCCACCCCCATCTGAGAAGCAGTGGCCTGCGAGCAGCCCGCCCCTGTCAGAGTAGCAGCAGCTATGTGAGGTGCCCGCCCCCATCCAAAGAGCAGCAGCTGTGCAAGCAGCCCCTCCACATCTGAGGAGCAGCAGCCCAACACAGCGTGCCCCCACCAGAGGAGCAGCAGCTGCACAAGCAGCCAGCCCCAATTCAAGAAGCAGTAGCCACGCACAGCCCGCCCCCATCTGAGTAGCAGCAACTGCATGAGCAGTCTGCCCTTTCTAGCCAGAGGAGCCACCACTGCTTTGAGCAGTCCCCACCAGAGGAGCTGCCACCAACTGTGGAGCAGCCACTGCCAAAACTGCCCAAGGATCAGCTGCCACCCAAGGAGCCGCTGCCACCCAAGGAGCAATCCCTGCACAACTCGACGCCTAGATCCTTCAGTGAGAGCAAAAATGGGGAGACAAAGAGGCCCCAAAGGAAAGAAAAGGAGAAATCACCAGAAAGGCAGCTAAGTGAAATGGAGGCATACAATATATCAGAAAAAGAATTCAAAATAAAGAGTCATACAGTTCAAAAACTGGATGGCTGAAAAAATCAACAACTTATATAAGAATCAAGAAGAAATAAAGAGTGATATAGCTACAATAAAAAAAAAAAAACACATGGAAAGTTTTGACAGTAGACTAGGAAAAGCAGAGGACCAAATTAGCGAATTAGAAGACAGGGAAGCAAAACACACTCAGTCTGAACTGCAATTGGAGAAAAAGAAAAAAGACAGGAGAGGAGCCTAAGAGAGCTTTGGAGCAACAAGAAATGAAGCAACATACAGATAATAGGGGTGCCAGAATGATGGGAAGAGGAACAAGGGTTAGCAAACCTAATTGAAGAAATAATGTCAGAAAACTTCCCTGATGTGGGGAAGAAAAATTTAAAAATTACACAAGTACAGAAAGTCCCAAACAAGATGAACATGAAAAGACCCACATCAAGACACTTCATAATTATGATGGCAAACATTCAGGAAAAAGAGGATCTTAAAGGCTGAAGAGAGAGACAGAAAGTTACGTACAAGGGATCTCCCATTAGATTATCAAATGATTTCTCAACAAAAACACATCAGTCCAGAAAGGAATGGAAGGAAATTTACAGATGCAAAGTAAGGGTTTGAATCCAAGAATACTCTATCCACCAAGACTATCATTCAAAATTGAAAGGGAAATAAAGAGCTTCAGAGACAAAAAAAGGCTAAGGGAGATTATCACTACCACACCAGCAATGCAAGAAATGCTAAAGAGACTGGTGTGAGGACAAGAAATAAAAAGAGAAGAAGGAACACAGGTACAAAAAATAAAAATGATTACAAACAAGTACCTATCAATAATAACTTTAAACGTAAACAGACTATATGTTCCAAAAAAAG